TTAAGAATCCCAGAGGCTCTCATTCATAACAATGAAAGCTCAGGAGGCATGGGTGGTGGCAGTTGAGGTCGCATGGGATGTGGCGGTGAGCGGTGGAACTTCGGAGCGGTTGCTTTACGGATGCGGGACGCGCGCTTTCCCTGCATCCGTAATTCCGTCGTCCGGCGGAAGAACCCCGTATGATCCATCGGACGTTGCCGTATCTCCTTTGATAAAATACAGGTTTTTTCTGGAAACTTGTGATTTCCGATTTTACAAAAAAAATTATTCCTCGAGTCAATCAAGTATACCAGAAAATGTGATGGAATAAGCAATTGTAATTAAACAGAAAGGAACCAAACCACATCAGCTATTGCCAAATATAATTGAACAATTTAATCTTTTACATGAAAACGGTTGTGCGGATTTTTGTGCAAAGTTCAGTGAAGATTCTCCATAGTTTGAAGTGAATTCCCTAAAAATTTTAAAGGAGTCCGCACAAAAATTCTCTCGTAAAAACTTTAATTGCCCGGTTAAATTTGGCAGTAACTGATGTGGCTTGATTCCTTTCTGTTGAACTCGGTCCAATTGTCTCATGAAATAGATATTCTGTTGGGGAAAATTTGGCAACACTCCGAAGAACGTACGGTGTTTTTCCTTAGAAGGCCGAGTAGGAAGAGTACATGGACACTTGAAAAGCCATTTCTAATTGGCTCAGCCATCCTAGGCCTCATACGCCTGCCTATGATCCAGAAAAAGAGGAAGAGCAAGAATTTATTTTTCTTCAACCTCTTCTTTCTCTTTCCCCCCTTTGTCTTCTTCTTTCACTGAATGAGGTTCATTTTGATCTCCACGTGTTTAGACAAGATGAAGGATCGAGTTCGTCGTATTAGCCCTTGTCTCCATGTGAAGTTTCATGGGATTCGTCCCAAGTTCGAATCACAGAAATAAAACTTCTGGGCTTGTTCCCCGTTAAACAAAGCGACAAAATTCCTTCTTATTTCCTCCGAGTCGCTCTTAGGACTCTGCTTATAAAACTTTGGTTAGTTTTGGCTAACTTAACATATTTCCCTAGGAAATCCCATGGAATGCTCCGAAGACAAGGCCATTGAGGTAGCAAGGGCATTTGAGGTGAGGGGCTTGGAGGACAAGGTGCATAAGTGCAGTTTTTGAAAAAATTGCAATATTAATGATTTAAATTAAAACTAGTCATGATGCATATTCGGTGAGAAATTCGCTCCCAATTTCCAATTTTAAGCATTTAAAAGTCAGTTTGAACTTTCTTTCCGCCGTAAGGATCCAGGTAAGATCGAAACTTCAAACACGTATTTATCAAAATAGCAAAAATGCACTTATGCGCCTTGTCCTCCAAGCCCATCATTCGACCTATTTGACCCAAGAAATCCCCAAAACGGAGGGAACTTCAGATTCGGAGGCATGAGCCTCGAACTCAAATTGGACGTATTTATGCTATAAGGAACTATGTTGCACGCATACCCTGTGCACATAGTTCCTTTCAGAATACGTCCAATTGCGATCCGTGAAAGATCCCGTCACCAGCAGCTCCGACTTCTTGGCGCAGAGAATGCGGCGAATAAAATTCGCAGGGATCCGCTAGCCCGCGTTCCCACAAAAAACAAGGCTTGCGCTGACTCTTTGTCCCAAATAAGGGTATTGTACCGTGCAAAGGAAAAACGTCGTATGAACCGTCGAGAGTTGCCAAATTTCCTTCAGTAAAATGTTTATATTTGAGGAAAGACATGACTAGTTTTGATTGAAATTTTCAGGGACTTTAGATGAAATTGCAAACAAAATTACCTAAAAAATTCGAGGAAAAATATTCACAAATTTTCCCTGAAATTCGTGATTTGCCGAAGGAAATTTGGCAACGCCTGAAGGTTCATACGGCGTTTTTCCTTAGCACGGCAGAATAGTGAGTCGCTCTTATACTTTTTCCTCCCCCGCGCCGCGTCGCGACGGCTCCCACGCTCCACCGATGACACCAAAAATATGAGTCTTCACCCGACCCTCGACTCCGTGCGCTGTCGGCTGTCGCCGGCCTCCCTCCCCCTACCCGCCTCCGGCCCCCCAGCACCCTTCCACCTCTCGGAAGTGCCCTGAGCCTTGTTAGCGAAAAACGTTCGTGTTTAACCCGAAACGACGCGGCGCGACGCCGACAGGACGGGGCTCTTTGCTCCACGACTTACTCTCCGACACGATCCCACTATTTTCTCGCGCTTCTCGGGGTCGGAATAGAGACACTCCGCGCTGAATGGAGCTTCTTTGAGGCACCGGGATTCGCGATTGTGAGCTTCAGCTGCAGCGAGGACGGGAGTTTCCTTGCGGAAAATGGCCCGCGAATCACCATGAACGCGTTAGAGGAGTGGAAAATTCAAAACCTGGCAAGCGCCATCAGCGGGCTGATTGTCGTAATTGATAGACAAAGCGATAGACAAAGAGAATTTAGGGAGTATGGAGCGATCACGAAAAAAAAAGTCTTAGGGGTTATCTCCTGAAATTGTGGTACTACCTCAATTTGTTGGCTGATACGGAAATTCCTAATTAATTCTGGTAGAACCGCAACTCAAGTTAGGGTAGTACTGCAACATTTGAGTTAGTGACCTAATTTATTGGGGTACGACCACAATTAATTCGCGTTCTACCAAAATTAATTGGAAATGTCCATATCACACAACAAACTCGTGCTTTTTTTAATCTGTGATCCTATTGGTTGAAATGTGTGGTTCTTATAGACTAAGAGGGGAAATGCCCCCCAAATCACCGAGAACGCATTTGAGGAGTGGAAAATTCAAATCCTGACAAGCGCCATAAGCGGGCTGATTGTTGAAATTGATAGACAAAGCTATAGACAAGGAGACTTTAAGTAGTATGGAACGATCCTATTGGTTGAAATGTGTGGCTCCTATATAGACTGAGGGAGAAAATTATAATTTCTGGCTCATCCATAAAATTACCTATCTGAATTGTGAAACTAAAGGCACACGTGTTGTTTCTAAAATAAGCTAGGAATAGTAATTCCTCATCGCAACATGTAGTCTATGTAAGATAAGAGTCGAAAGACGTTGCCAAATTTTGCCGAAAAAAGTACACGAACTAGATTTTAGATCTGTTAGGAAAAAACCCCAATGAAGGTATTTAGTTTTAAAATTTTAGATAAAACCCCAACGAAGGTATTTAGTTTGAAAATTTTAGATGGATCAGAGGCTCCTTTTAAAAATTTAACTCGTGTCAACTTTAAGACGATTCCTTTGAAGCGAATCATTTGCAAATTCTGTACAAACCCTCAAGATTATCGATTTCAATCACTCATCGCCAACAGTGTAGGCAACAATAGCTGCCTCATTAATTTCCCCATCCCTCACGATCTTGACATAATAGTGATAATCAGCTCTCGACAGGACGCCGAAGAGGGGTGAATAAGGAGGAACAGAGACGCAGTGATAAGGTTTGGTACATCAGTTTATCTCAAGTTGACGGATGACCAAAACTTCCGTACTGTCATTGACACCCGTCGTTCATGTCGTGTAAGTGCTTTCTGCTCTGATGATAATCCCACTCAGTCTCTCTCCCTTGCTTGACATCTTCAGTCGATTAAATTGGTATGTATTTCGGTGAGATCGTTGCAACACTGCCAACACTTTCAAGTGTAAGGTTCTCTAGTGAAGAATAGAATGAATACTATGTCAAAATTTGCATAATATTTTCTGATCAATATCGTAGGAGTATTACATAAATTGAAGCGCTGGGTGCAGAAAGGACATTTCTTGGTTGCGATGCCTTAAGATTTCCTTCAACACTTCATCCACTAGGTATGATTAAAGCAAATGCTTGGAATTCTTCAAATCTTTTACTGAATTTTCTTTATTATTGTACAATTCTCATGACTAAAAATTTCAGAAAATTCGCTCAATAGTTACCTCCAAAATATAAAGTAGGTAGCAGTGGAGATACTGAAACACCGCAACCAAGAAATTCCTTTTTTACACCCAACACCTCAATTATTTTGGCATAATATTCTGAACATTATTATTTTACATGTTCCTTTGTTCAGGGAACGATTATAAAACAGGGTCTCCCGCGAAATGATCAATTAAATCGACGAGGCGTAACACATCAATAATTTAGACTAAAACATGCGCATATCTGATTGCAACGTTGAAAGTCCCTGCTAATATTTTATTTTTTTCTAGAAACTAACCAAAATATAAAAAAACTAACCACCGGATATTATTCTTATAATTTTCTCCTCTTATAAAAATATCTATAGAAAATTACGGAGATAAAACTAGTTCGTATTTTTGAAAAAAATAAAGAAAGACTTCATTGTAGATTTCGGACGATTCTGATGGAGATACACGTACATCTCGACTTGAATCATCGATACGATTACTGATCACGGTTGTTTTTGAGAAAGCGTCCATTTTTGAGCTATGAGCAGACATTAAAATAATTTGCTGAGCACATTTCAAATGAAAAACAAGCTACACCGATAAGAGAACAATCCATCATTTTTTCATATGACATTAACGTCGCGAGAGAAATACACCTGTTCCATTTTGCGAGGAGACGTCCAGAAAAGTCAACATCTACAAACACGAACCGAATAAAACCCGATAATTGTCGTTCTCCAGATAAAGAATAACCTAACTAAATTTTAAAGTTGCAAGATTGACTTAAAAAATCAATTTTTTCAAAAATCTCACTGTCCGATTTCTGTCCAAAAGTTTGCTGATCTCTACGTATAATCGAAAGAAAAATCGATAAAATTTCTAGCTTGAAACCCCGAACAATTTTCAGATAAAAACACAATTTTCGGGAGGAAAATTTGCAAAGTTGAAATGTTGTTAAATCATTTCAACTGAAATACGACGAAATATTTTCAGGTGGTTGTGTCTGATGACATGATCAATTTGAAGTAAGAGGGTACCTAACATTTTTCTCGCACTTTCGAGTCATAGAATCATGCGACATCAATTTGAAATAAATACTTTTGGACTTACCCTTTGGGCTTTCTTCGTTCCAATAAGTGTCATCGAGAGTATAATCAGCTCCTGAAAAAAGAATTGAAAAACATGCGTAAACATTAAAATATCAATATGATATAAACTAGCCAACTAAGTTAATGCATCAAATGTTTTTAAAGATGTGATACAGTGGGACAAAATGTACCGCGCGGTAAGAAAGAAATAAATATAATAATTAGGTAACGTAAGTTAGGACACGTAGCCCATGACGCATCATAAAAATAAGACAAACTGAACCAACACAACGCGGAAATAGGATAAAATAAAGGATGCGCGTTGATGACGGCGCAGAGATACAACTATTCGTCCTCGACGGATGTCCGTGTTGAATAAGCTGTAAAATTGAAGGCGCGATGGCGCGAGGCGTGAACTCTCAATGTCGCTCGACTTCGGGGAAAGTTAAAAAATGAGGCGCGAATACGTTCCTCCTAATCTTTGGCTACGTTGACACTCCTTCTATATTCAATTTGATGTGTGATTATTTTTTTGGGATGTATGTGTGGACCCATATTTGTTCTTGGCAGCCTCAGATCACTTTGCCCTGGCTTGGGCATATAAATAAACGTTTACTTCTGGTATAATCAGTAGAAAGGCAAAACATGGTTTGCTCATTTCGTTCTGAATCGAATGAAATATATTATTTCCCAAACACGGCTGAAACCAATGGCATGAATTTTCCGATGAATATTATCCACAAAAGCGTGTTTTCTGTGTGCTTTAATGCAACAAATAAAGTTTATTCATAGAAAATAAAGAAATAAAAGTACACCTCGTTTCAATCCTTAGCAGGTGTAACTAAAGATTATATTTAAATTCTTTCCGATCATTTTTCCTTCCTCCGCAAACTTCATTTCAGATCATTCTCAGTCTTCTAGTACTTAACTTTGGTTCCAATTAATCCGAGGAAAAATCGCAATTCTACCTTGCCTCTACGTGACAAATCGCAAATGAAATACTACGTATTCAGAACAGAATTAATTTAAACCATTTCGAGGAATGCATCAAAGCTTCCACCTCCTTATTTGACTGAAGCAAATAACCTTCGAAAATTATAAAGCTATTTCCGAGGATTTTCTTTTAATACACTGAAATATGATATTTTGTACCGCAATCTCAGTAGTGGTTTTCCAAGAATATTTCATCATTTAAATTCATTTAAATGGTGGCTTCTGTAATTGTTTTATTTTCTTTTTTTATTTCGTTGCTTCGTTTCCTTATTACTCGAGAGCAGGAATTTCCTGGAATACCAGCTCTCAATGGTGTCACGCTTTGCGTATTTAATATTTTTTTAGGTATATCTAAGACTCTAATGCAGATGCGTTGGCATTATAATCTAAAGTTTTTAAGTCAGGTGGGTATTTTATAAAATATCAATATGTATAAAATAAAATAAAAAAATCTTTAGAACCCAAAACTTATCAATTTCAATTGTCGTCATGTTGTATCGTTTTCAAAAGTATTTTTGATACATTTATGGCATAGAATAGTAGCACACCTTCTTACACACACAAACAAATGCCCCCTGTTTAAAATATGTAACGCTAGTAGGGAGAGATGAAGGGTATAAATGTGCGTTACAGACTATTTTTTATGATCATTTTTCTTACGTCTACAATTTTGAAAAAAATGTGAATATTCGGACCAATTTTCGTTTCTTTCCTCCTTTCAACCTGTTTGACTCCATGCATTTTTTTAAACCATATAACAATAAGGGAAAAACTGAACTTTATCAATGATTTTTGTACTTAAGGATGGGGTCAAGGAGAGCATTAAGCAGTGGCGTGGCGCGCCTCGTGATGTATCGATTGATCTACCATTTGAACCTATGAAAAAAGATCGATTATCAGGGCGTTCGCAACGAACACCATAATGATTAATTCTTTACCATACCTTCAAATGGGATAATATCGATGGTCGATTGTCACGCTTCGTCACCGGCGCACAGTGGATCGAGTCAATCAGAGAAGTCGGACATGAAATTTTTAACTAAAACTGCAAATTTTGATGTTTATTTCGTCACATTTTGAACTTTCATGGATGTTTCCTGAAGAAAATTTCACGAGAAAATCAATGAAATTACTCTTAGAGCCTCAAAGTTTTATATAACCAGAGTTATAAGCGTTTGAAGTTTCTAAATTTTGTCCGACCTCTCCTATTAACTCGATCCACTGTGCGACGTTAAATATCGTGTAGGAGGGTGTATTCCTGCACTACAGGGAGGGAGGGAACCGGTTAAAAAATTCGAGGGGCGGCTTTTATTCACAGAATTTCTTCCCAAAATTTGTTGACATTTATGATCATGAAGGGTACTTCTCTTCGGGAGACTTAAACTTCCTGGACACTTCCGGCCTGAAGAGGTGCATCGTTACACTGAGCATTGAGAAATGGTGAATAGATTGAGATAAATTTCGGTTTGATCTCAGGGGCGGGACGAACACCATAATGATCGATTCCTTACCATACCTTCGAATGGGATAATGTCAATGGTCGATTGTCACGCCTCGCCACCGGCGGTAAGTATTCTGTAGGAGAGTGTATTCCTGCACTACCGGGAGGGAGGGAACAGGTTAAAAAATTCTAGGGGCGGTTTTCATTCACAGGATTTCTTCCCGAAATTGTTTGACATTTATGATCATGAAGGGTACTTCTCTTCGGCAAACTTAAACTCCCTGGACACTTCCAGCCTGAAGAGGCGCACTGTTACACTTAGCATTGAGAAATGGTGAATAGATTGAGATAAATTTCGTTTTGATCTCGGGGGCGGGATCGGAGAAGTGGAGAGCAGGTGACAAGAGGTGCGGACACCAAGGGTGACGAGAAAAACCAGCGTCCCTCAACCCCTTTCCGCCTCGCGAGGAGGGCTATGATTAATATGGAGCACTGTACACAACACTTCGCGTGACATTCGTGTTTTTGCTCGTGTTCCACCCCGGCTACGGTTCTTGCATTCCGGGTTGTCATTTAATAAGATGTTTGCGCGTAAATAGACTCGTGCCATGGACAAATGTTTCAGAAATTTCGCACTTTCAGTTTTCTATGTGAGGATCCTAGTTCCAAAGTGTACAATGTCCATTTTGGTCGACATCAAGTTAGGAGTGGATTCTTGATCAGTAAATAGAGGAGAATCGGAAAATAATTTGATTGTATGCCAAAACAGCCAAAACCCTTTTTATTCTTAGAGCACAAAATCCAGTATCCAAAATCCGTGCTTTGCGATTAATCGATTTGTATACGCTTTAAACGTAAGGAAAAGGATCGATAAACGGGGTGTTGTCAACGAACACCTTGATACTCGATTCTTTACCATGGCTTAAAATGGGGAAACATCGATAATAATCGATCATTCACGTTTTGCCACTCACAAAGGATCACTCCGGATCACAGTGCAAGTTCACGCCTTTAATTGGCACACCTCGAAGTACATTTTTGCACAGTTAAAAATCCTCAGTTTCTGATGGGAAATCTCGCATATTTATCGCTACTGTTGGCGAGAAACCCCTGCTGAGATTATTAAAATTAAAAGGAATTTGCACAATTTTTGGAGCATTTTTTCCTTGTTTTGTACTTTCTTAATGTTGAATTCTGGGTTGCTGTCTTGTTTCATTTTTGACAAAAACTAGCAGATAGAAAGCATTGGCCATTGATTTCTTGATTTTTATTTATTTTTTAACATTATTGAGCTATGTTCCTTACTCTCAGAAGTCAATCCAACCGCCATTTTAATCGAGGGCTTTGATGGCTTTTATTTTAGGTCACTTCATTCACTCATGAATGGGGGAGGAGTGGGATTGTCAAGACTTCGTCGCATTCGAAAAGGGTCCGGTCAAGAGAACCACAATTTTTGTCAGATGTTCAATTTCACAGATCAAAGAGGAAGATTGGAAAATGAAAATAAATGAATACAGATGTGAAAAAAGATGAAAGAGCGGAGAATACGGATCTCTATAAAAAAATCAGTCCAGACTCACGCCACCGAATTCGTTGGTGGGAAAGAAAAATAATCCAGCTTTGCGTTCGTAAGTTGTTGCTATTTTCCGTCAAATCATTGTGCCAGCTGTAAGAAAACAAGCCGATGAACTAAAAGTTTCGAAATTATTTTGGGTTATTCCCCGTGCACGTGACCGGAGAGCTAACTTGCAAAGTTTGATACCCACAATTCTTGCATATGTTCAAAGATGGCATTGCGAGTATGTTCTCTTAATAGGTCTCATGACATTACTCGACTGTGAACCTGCAGGTGTTAGCATTTTGTTTGCGGTGTCGTTTCAAATCTCCGCCCCTATTTTTACCAAAGAAAAACCAAACAACGCTATTGCTTGAAATTTTCACAAAATCTTTCTCACGCACGGAAGCAAAAAATTAGGAGATTTTTCAAAAGTGACCATTAGTATATTTCCATTTATAAAATATAGTACAGTAGGATGTCTGCAACGTCGCAAACTGAGATTCCCATTCCTACAGTTACATCGTCTCTTCTATTTTTAAAATGTCAGATCATAAGTCAGTTTGCCGAGTGCCGCAATTATGCATAGTATAACATTTAATTACCGACAAACTATTACTTCCAGACACTGATAAATAAAATCCTCCAAACGTTTCAAAAATAGTGAATTTGATGCGAGACAAGATTTAAAAATTTGGAGTTAAAAGTAGCAGAACCTGTAGATTCCTATCCGGGTTGAAAGAAAAGCGCGCTGAATATTGAAATGAGAAAGTTTTGATACTTCTCATTTGAGAATTTTTTGGCAGAGTCGCGCTGTTGGAACTCTCATCGAAGTTTCTTAGCTCTTTTGCATCCACTTAGCTCGCTAATAGCGAGTCCCTACCAGTAAGTTAAACATTGTAATGTGACGCCGCCTTAAAGTTCAAGTCTAACTCTAATGTTCAGAACACCCGATTCGTGAACGGTGACTATTCTCTCAAAAAATCGATAGTTATAGGGTCAGGCTTGCCTATTTTAAATCGGTTAATTATGCAGGATTCAAGTGAATGAAGAAAAAATTGAGTTGCCAACTTGAAAAATCACC